CCCATCCACAGGGCACGAGCAGTCACCGAATGGTTTGATGAGCATGAAAACGATGTTAAGCTATATGCAATGGCGGTCTGATTCACCAGATCTCAACCCGATTGAACACTTATGGTAGATTCCTAGAGCGATGCCTGAGACAGCGTTTTCCACCACCATCAACAAAACACCAAATTATGGAATTTCTCGTGTTGAAGAATGGTATCACATCCCTGTGTTTCCTTTATTTTGTCAGTTACCTGTAGTTAGACAAGCTAGCTACTCTAACTTGATTGATAGCCTGAAATGGCTTCTTGGTAGCTAGCCAACTTCATCAAATTACTAGGTGGCCAGTAGAATTACAGAGAAACCTCATAGGGGGCACAGGGGCACGCCTCTGACGTTAAATGTAATATTCACACAAATATGTATGCACGCACGCACGCACGCACGCACGCACGCACGCACGCACGCACGCACGCACGCACGCACGCACGCACGCACACACACACACACACACACACACACACACACACACACACACACACACACACACACACACACACACACACACATATAATATATTTGAGATAGAGTTCATGGCGTTACACTCTAAAGCTAAGGATCAAAGGTTCTGAGTCGCATTCTAACACTGAACTCTGGTTCTCTACAACTCTCAATCTCCCACTGGCTCATAGAATTAGCACTGGATTTCACAAACACAACTGCTTGGCAAATAGGCCATGTAATAGTATTTAATATTCACTCTCTCTCACTCTAGAGACAATACACTTCTTTGTGTGGCTGCATGTGGCAGAATAAAACTCCAACCGGAGTTTCGGGAAAACCAGGCAATGTATTGAAAGTTCACAGAATTCTGCGTCCCTACTGCTGAGAGACATCACCAGACCTACTTTGATGGGTCTTCTGGCTCAAGATGTTTTTTACTATTTACTCCGGAATGGATTAAAAATGGTCTTTAATTTACATTTGATACCTCATTTTGGCAGCCGGGCATAAAATGCTTTAAATCACAATCTTAAGTCTGGAAATATGCAACGGATCACAGTTTTCCCAGTTAAGCTCATTTCATGAATCAGTCAGACTCTCTGGCTCTCTCAGCAGCTCTGCAAATTCACCATTCAGGACTTTGAGCATTTTTAAATACCAACCCAAAGATAAGAACACCCCGCAGTGATTCATGCCTTGATGAGTTCACCTCTCTGTAACAGAATACATATATGGAATTATATTATTGTCCTCTACTACAGATATGCATGTGTGTCAATCACCATACCCAGAGCCATATCTTTTATACTGAGTTGGGATATGGGCTCTTCACCATACCTGGTGCATACTACACCATGGGAACCCTTGATAGAGGCGCTAAGCCACTTGAATGCAGTGTATTTTAGGCCTAGCCTAGCCCGGGCCCATTGATGGGATGTGAAAGCTACAAGAGGAGAAAAGCATCCTGCAGTGATTCATCCCCTATCTGACTCAAGGGCTCTTTATTAGCTATTAAAAAAAGAAATGTTTCAATGGAAAATGAAGGAGAGAGAGAGAGAGAGAGCGAGCGAGCGAGCGAGAGAGAGAGAGAGAGAGAGAGAGAGAGAGAGAGCTGTGCTTTGTCAATACTAACCTACCCGGCATCATTACAGTGCCATATAATCATGAGATCGACACTGCAGAGGATACTTTTTGTTTTTTCCTTCCTCCAATATACATTTTAAAATTTCCTCCTTTATTGAGTTTTGTTGGACTTTTAACACCCACAATGTCTTGGTTAAAATGGATGTGCCTGTCCCTGCCAGGAGATCAGTGCATTGAACCAATGGGCCAGTAAGGAGAACGTTTCTGTCTCACAGCTAAACGTCACATAGCTCAGAGGGGGAGAAAGGATGAACAAGATGGAAGGATGAGAAAAAAAGAGGGGAGGAAGATCTCTGAGAAAAGGAGTGAACCACAAATGGATACCGTCATTATAAGTATAAGTAGTCATTATAAGTAGTGGTCCTCTGTAGCTCAGCTAGAGCACGGCGCTTGTAACGCCAAGGTAGTGGGTTCGATCCCCGGGACCACCCATACACAAAAATGTATGCACGCATGACTGTAAGTCGCTTTGGATAAAAGCGTCTTCTAAATGGCATATTATTATTAGCTAGCGCTCTGCTTAGTGTGAAATAAAGGGCCAGCTCTCCTCCCACCATCGACAGCTCGCACAGACCCATTTCACAACACCTCAGTGAGCTGTGCACTAACCTTGATGTAATTGCTCCATCTAGTGCTGAGGGTTTATAGAGAATAGGCCAATGCATGACATATCCTATTGATTACAGTAGGATTAGAGCCCTGCATGATTTGCTATAGTATGGACTAGGAGTCTAGGACTACACTGTTTCACAATATTGGACTTCAAGAAATCACACGACTCCATTTCAGAACACAACTGACACTGTATCTGAATAAATGTAATATGTGGCATAGAGGCACGAGAGCGTCACTACTGAGGGAGTTGCTGGATTTCAACTTTTGCTGGTGCTGTAGTGACTCCTACTGGACATTACAGGTATTATCACAGAGGAGAAGACTTTCTGCTCCTGATCTGATAGTAAACCAGCAATTTGGAAAAAGATTGAAAATAAATTGCTTGTTACAGGCTGTTATCCATGCTAGATTAAACATTGTTAGGGTGACAAACAAAGTAGGGTGGATGTGTTATCAAACATAAAAACACTTACAGCCTTCACTCTGCTAACTATGCGTAATTCAATTATGTTATGTTTCAGTTAGCGGACATATACTTAAACAGTTTATGCTGGCACCATACATTACACAATATTCAGTGGTGAAATCTCTCTTAATGACCCTGTTGCATATTTGAAGCAAGGCCACAGATTTGCATTGATATTGGAGCAAAATTTTACCCAGTCGGGCCTCTACGTGACGTCAATCTCCCAGTGTGTATTATACACATGTGTGAATTGGAAATCTGTTTTTTTGCATATGCCCATTCTCCCTGAGACACCCTTGGAGAGTGGGGTCACGGCGAGGGTCTGCCATTATCATTTGCAAACATGGAGCAATTAGGGTTAAGTGCCTTGTTCAAGGGCATATTAAAATATTTTCCACATTTGACAGCCCAAAGCACTTTAGTGCTGTTTTTGTACATTATCATAGAGCTGTTTAGTACCTTATAATGGAGCTGTTTTGGTACATTATCATAGAGTGGTTTAGTACATTATCACAGAGCTGTTTTAGTACATTATCATACAGCTGTTTTAGTACATTAGCGTAAGGTTGCTGGTTTGAATCCCTGAGCCGACAAGGTTTAAAAAATCTATCAATGTGCCCATGAGCAAGGCACTTAACCCTAGTTGCTCTGGATAAGAGCGTCTGCTAAATGACTAAACTGTCAATGTAAATATGTTGCCCCCTATTGGATATATTCAGATATTACATGTATTAGGGCAGAGTTTCCCACCCCCCCTGGGTGCACGTTTTGGGTTTTGCCCAACACTACACAGCTGATTCAAATCATCAAAGCTTGATGATTAGTTGGTTATTTGAATCAGCTGTGTAGTGCTAGGGCAAAAAACTAAACGTGCACCTGGGGGGGCAAGGACCGAGTTTGGGAAACCCTGTACTAGGGCAGCCTAGATGGTGGTATGGTTAAGGCTATCAATATGTTATGATTAAGTAGAGTGGGCCCCTCCACGCTCAACCTGCATTAATTCCTGTTAAAGTGGTTATCACTGATTACTAGACTTTACATTAGAAAATACAAGTTATTTTCGAATCTGATTTGTTAACACAGGATCCCCACAAGAAGTCAGAAACGCCATCAATTCATGCAATGATATTTAATCAATTAGCCAATAAGTGAGCTGGATTACTTGAAGGGCCTGGACAGACCTTTGGAGATCACCGAAAACATCCTGATGAGAAGGGGATTTTTGCAAGGCTTCTCCTGGTGAGATGTGGAGGGAAGATCCTCTTGAAGTGCAGACGTGACACTATGCTGGGCACTACAGAAGACAGATTTGCACTTTAATTGAAGAATTATGTTATAATTTATGCTAACATCTCATTTATATTCTCAGTTACAACATAAACTGCATTGATAGATTAGAACCAGAAACCTGAGTTTAGGAAAATATAAATACTTTTACATAAGAGATGACTAGACAAGGTTTGTTGAGTTATTTATTTGTACACCAATATCTCAAACAGAAAATGCCATGTCTTACCCAAGCTATTCTCAGCAGTAGTCTGTTCTTCGGATTCTGAGAGGTGGGAATCCATCTTGGAATGCTTATTTTTTCCCCTTCTTGTTCTCCTTCTTTGAGGGGAAAGTTTTGAAAGAGAAAAAACTACTCATAAGTCAATAACAACAACAACATAATAATAACAATAATAATAACCAGAACTAACACACCAGACCGATTTATGAATGGCTGATTTTATATGTTGTACACTCGCAATAGAGTTGTTTACTCACATTGATAATTCTGGCAAGCCTTTGTAGGAAGGAGAACTTCACATCCTCAGCCAGAGGAAGAGCCTCAGGTCTGTCTTTACATCCTCAGCCAGAGGAAGAGCCTCAGGTCTGTCTTTACATCCTCAGCCAGAGGAAGAGCCTCAGGTCTGTCTTTACATCCTCAGCCAGAGGAAGAGCCTCAGGTCTGTGTTCACATCCTCAGCCAGAGGAAGAGCCTCAGGTCTGTGTTCACATCCTCAGCCAGAGGAAGAGCCTCAGGTCTGGTAGCTTCGAACGATGTTCTTCTGGCGGCCATTGATGCCTCATTATATCTGTAGAGGAGTTCTTTACTCAAGGACTTGACAATAATCCTATCAAATGAGTCCTGAGTCGACACGGCCAATTGAAGGATTTTCTCCAAGCCAAACTCCTCCAACACGTTTGTACATGGCCCTGTACATTTTATGAATCTTCAGGTTCTCTGGATAAGCTTGGGTCTCAGAAGAGCCTGACATTGCACAGAAGACAGCCATGACCTTTGGGATTAAGTATTGTAATGTGCGTGCAACTTCAAATGGGTACAGATCAGTTTGGGTTTGGATCTTAGACAGAAGTCTCACCACAAGCATGCTGATGAGGCCGGTGAAGTCATCATCACTGTCTGAGTTGTCAGAGGATGAGGTTGGAGACGAGGCATCTTTGACAACATCTGGGCTGGTTGTAATCTGATCACCAACAATGTTCTGAGCTAGACCAGAATGACTGGTGGTATCCTCTTTCTCTTCATCCATGTTGGCCCTAATGTGTCGTGCTACAGCGGAGGTCTCACTGACACGGGAGAGAGACAGCTGAGGGGAAAGAATTGCCACTCAATAAACTGCCAAGGTCAGTGACATCTGTCAGAGATCTAGGAGAGATTCTGATCTCTTGGTTGGAGATGACCCTCTGCTTTGAGTATCAGAAACCACAGAGTCGGTGACCTGGCTTACCATAACTTTAGTAAACACACTAACTGTGTCACTAAATATTGATGTGGAAGAAGTGCATGACATCCTATCTTCGGACTTGCGTGCCGACACACTGACTCCCTGAGCCAAAGTCATTGAAGAGAATGAAGGCTAGGAAGCAAGAGGTGCTTCACAGACTCCTCTGCAAACAGCTGAACCAGCTCGTAAGCTGTGGCCTTCCCCACCTTCTTGTCCTCCTTCCTCTTCAGTAAGGACCGTATCTGATGCACTTTTTCCGGCCGCCACTGTCAAAATCAGAGGGGTTAAGTTGCTGTCAGAAATGATGCGATTGACTTGGTGAGTAAGATCACAGGAGAGAGCATCAATCCTCCCCTGAGATATGAGCTCCTCCAATCTAGCTATCCCAGCTGTCAGATCACGTGAGATGTAACCTGCCCATCTTCCTCTGGATATACTTCCTTCATGGTATCTGCTATAGCAGACATGGACTTCCTGGCATCACACACCAACTTTTCCTGCTTAGTGGATTTGCTCATGTCGATGACTGAGCATCTCACAATGGGCAGAGGAGTACTCTCTGGTAATTCAGAAGGGATGGGAGTGCCAGGGAGCGCAAATTTCCACTCTGACTTCCTTGATTTGGTTGAAGATGTTGATTTGGCTAATGACGTTAATTTAACTGATAACGTTGACAAAGAGGAAAAAGGTTGTTGTGGCTCTCGCAAGACCAGTTCCTCACCACAATCACTGCTTACTTTCTTAATGTCCTCCAGCATCATTTTAACCACATTCTCTATTTGTGAAAGCTCTCCTGCTGTCACCATTTGGTCAGATTTTGACAGCTCTTTCTGAATGGAAACCAGAATATGGCAGAGGGTTTCTTTGGCTTGTGCCATCAATGCTTTGGCTTGTTTTTCCAGTGTGAAATAGTTTATCATCTTTGTCTTCAGATTGTAGTAGTAAACAGTCTTCACAGTTGTCCAGATCTTCTTCTCAGATACTTCGGGTGTGGCCTCAGTGGCTTTGGAGAGTTTCTCATCGCACTCTTGAAGCATAGAGTCTGCGTGCCATAGAGTAGTAGTAGAAGACTGTGGGAGAGAAAAGGCTCTTCATGTCGTTCGCAATTGATCCAACCATTTCAAAAGCAGCTGCAGCTGTATGCTTCAAGGTAATGGTTTGTATTTGTATTTATTATGGATCCCCATTCTTCCTTGGGTCCAGCAAAAATAAGGCAGTTATACATTTTTAAAAAACATTACAATATATTCATAACAGATTTCACAGCACATTAAGTGTGTGCCCTCAGGCCCCTACTCCACTACCACATATCTACAACACAAAATCCATGTGTACGTGTGTGTATAGAGTGTATGTTATCGTGTGTATGCATGTCTCTGTGCCTGATGTTGCTGGCGACCTTTGAGAATCTGTCTGGTGGAGAGATGCTGACTTGCTCGATCTGGGTGAGCTACTGACTGATTTGGTCAGTATTTTTCTGACCTTGTTAGTCGCCTTCACTTGAGAGCTTCTCGATGATGGAAGATGGAGTACCACTTAATTCCTCCAATGATGAGGAACTGGACACAGACATGTCTTCTAGGTAAGACATGAAATTGCCCAAAAAGTAACTGACTTCAAGGGAGTTGTAAGAGGAACTCTCTGCAACAGATGATGTGCATTCTAAATCTGCCACCTCTGACCTGTACATGGCCACAATCTGAGATAATACCTTTTTGGTGCAGGGCTCTAGGTTTGGATCATAGAAAGCCAGTAAAGGTTACAAGTTCTCACTCTGACAATTGTGTAGAGCACCAAGACCAGCTGAGTTGACCTCTTGCAGTTTTGCCTAACTCTTACTGAGAAGAGGAGTGATTCAGCTCTGAGTATGATCTGATCTGTATTCAGGTTGCTCTAGTGTTTCCTCTGCTACAGAGGTAGCTGAATCCTTTCTACCAGACAGAGAAGATGAGCTGAGTTCTGCTACAGGAGATTCACTCCTACTTGGTGAAGAAGAGTTCAGGGTTGAACCAGGCAGAACACTAGAGCCAGCATGCTCCAGAAGTACAGCACTGGAGTCCATTGTCTCCAGAAATTATTCCCCTTGGACTGTAGCTCCATTCATTCGGAAGAATAATTATTTGAGCTTTGCCTGAAGAATGCCAAAGAGTCTACGAGCTGCGTGGAATGGTTTCCGCTTTGACATACAACGTCCCACTTGGGGATCTCTCTGGGTGCTTGTTGGCTGATCTAATTCAGCTTCCTTCACAATGTCTTTGACATCATCATCAAAGTTGTCAATTATTTTAGACGCCTCAGAATCCATATTTGTCTGTATGAGCCCAGGGGCCACAGAATCAAGGATCCTGTCAGATGGGCCAGACGTATTCATTAAGCTGGGAGTGGCACTAAATGTAGGGGAAGTTTGAACCAAACCAGAGGTAACGCTTTTGAACCTTCTCACTATAACCTCACTCACAGCCTTTGAGGCTTTGGTCTGGAACTTGGCACTTGACAGAGTGTCATGGTTTTTCACCAGTGCCTTGCAATGTATGTTCAGGTCCTCTGGAACAGGAGAGTCTTCAGCATCCAGGTGCTCCACTGCAAGAGCACTGCCAGATGCCAACATTTTAACTTTCACAGCCACTTCTCAAAGCAGCTTAGCCGATTCCTGATCTTCTTTTTTCAATTCATCCAACATGTCTTCAAAAATAGTCATCAGCTCCTCTGTTGCAGGTGGAATGCAGGACTCAACATATAATTGGTCCACTGGATTTGTGTGATCATCACAACACCTCTGGACCATGTTGACCATCTGTACAGTTGCCTGAGTACTAGAGGCAAAAGGGGATGACCGCGCTGAAAGGGTTCTTCTGATGGTCACAGAGAGGGCCGAGTTGAGCTGTTCAACACCTCATTGATAAGGCCAAAAGTCAGCTCAGGTGGGCAAGAGGACAGATCTCATGGTCAGACAGTTGCTCCTGGACACTGCTGGCGATACTGTCCTCTTAACATCCCTAGCTGGACTTTCGCTGAGCTCTGGGAAATTCCAAATGAACAAGTAATCTCTTACTGATAAGTTATTTGCAAACAAATCCAACAAACATTGTTACAGATTTTGGATCTTAAATTGACCCTTTTCATCACAGGAGGACAATAATCCTGTAGCAGGAGGATTTTAATATCTGAAGAAATACATAGAATCGCTGCCAGGGTGCAGCTGGAAGCTGTGTTTGCATACAATGCACACCGTCCTACATTGTACCTTATTTACATTTGAGTCATTTAGCAGATGCTCTTATCCTGAGCGACTTACAGTTAGTGAGTGCATACATTTTTCATACTGGCCCCCTGTGGGAAATGAACCCACAACCCTGGCGTTGCAAGCACCATGCTCTACCAACTGAGCTACAGCCTTATGTAGGTTACGTGCAGGCCTCAGCATGTCTTGTGTGAATTCTTATGGACAGCATTTGTAGGGGTAGATGTATTATTCGTTAGGCCAAATCCGTTTTTACAGATCAATTGTTTTATTATATGTTGTAGGCAAATAATAGGCAGAATACATTCTTGATTTTCTCAGTGCCTGTGTGGTCCAGTGGATACAGCCACTGACCCCAGCATACATTATACCAGTCAGCATGGGTTCGAATCTGGCCCACTGACCTTTGACTCATGGATGAATGTCTATTTTTTTCAGCGTAGTTACAGGGTTAATGGCGCGTGGTTACAGGGTTGAAACAGAAACAACTCAAAGGTTAACAGTTTAGGCATTAATTCAGAGTGGTTAAGGTTATAGTTTGGGGAAGGCTCATGAGCCTCTTGAGTTTGTGTCCAGTGCTGGACGATATAGTGACCAGCCTGATCCTACATTAGGACCATAAGTTAATTAGTTAAAACATTTCAAGACGGAAAATGAATAGTCTGAAAATGTACACATCAAAGAAAAGTGTCTCGGCTTAATCAAATCGTCTTTGGATAGGCTCAAATCGTTTCGTCACAGCTTTACAAAATGGAATATTAATGCCACACAATACAAGCTTTCAATCCACACCAAAGACCAGAACTACAGTATATTGACAAATTATACATAGCCTAACTATAAAACATGGATGAGCATCTACACTGGAGGAAAGTTTATCGTTCTACAGCAGGCCTACAGTACCTGTCAATCAACTGATGGCCCAAATCAGCTCATCAACTCACCCAGGGATACACTGTAGCCATTATGTGACAATGGATAGGCTAACAGGTAGTCTACTGAATACAATCAAATAACAAGGGGTCTATTACAACCATTGATTATTGGCAGCTGATGTCTCGTTAAACCATCAATATGCACTAAATTCCCCCGCACAGCCGATCTCAATTGCAACCATTATTGGTCACCTCATTACCACTCCCTAAAAGATGATGTCAGTACTACAGTCCTGCTTGCAACCAAAGTTTCAAGATATGTTTGCCCTCTGGTTGGTATAGTAATCAGAACAACTTTTTGAACTGACTAAGGGCGATTTATCTATTTGACAAACTTTCCATACAATAGAAATAAAGTATTTCATTGTTTATCATGGCGACTCTATTGTGGCAATTTGCCCGACACTTTGTATAAATGGAAACTAATGTTGGTGTAGCCTAATGTTACTATTTTATCTTTCCTATTTATGTTATTCAAAAGTGTCTGGTATAGTCATTACTTATCAAGATCAGGGGTAAAATATCCCTGGACTGTCCATATTTGAAATGTGTAAATAAATCAAGTGGATTGTGTTCTTTGTGCCAAAAGGGCATGGGAAGGAATCAAATCCAATGCTGACATATGTGCATTCAGAAGGCAGCGGTCCTAACCACTAGACCAGCTCAGGCCACAATTGAACTCAGTTTTGACCTTAGGATACACTTGACACTTGTATGTCGTAGCCTAGTGGATACCAATATCTATCTTGTGTTATTAAGCTATATAAAACATTTTTGTACATTGGAATGTTGCAGTAATAGGACATAGGACTAGCGTTTGAGCGAGCGAGAGAGAAAAGTATTTTGATAGCAATCCCTGATCCCAATGACTCGACTGCCCCCGCATGGAGAGAAAGAGAACTGCTCTTTTTCAGGGACTCACCAGGCTCCTTAGAATTTTCTGATGCAGCAGGAAAATTCTCTGTGACAAACGATTAAGATCGAAATCTGTAGTCTAGTATTCTAAATATAATTTACATTTGTGCTTGTTTTCTTTTTTCACCATCATTAATTAAAATCTGCTCAAATAATGTGGGTTGATGTCTCCCGAGTGGCGCAGTGGTCTAAGGCACTGGCCGCGACCGGGAGACCCATGGGGCGGCGCACAATTGGCCCAGGGTAGGGGAGGGAATGGCCGGCAGGGATGTAGCTCAGTTGGTAGAGCATGGCGTTTGCAACGCCAGGGTTGTGGGTTGGATTCCCATGTGGGGCCAGTATGAAAAAATAAAAAATAATGTATGCACTAACTGTAAGTCGCTCTGGATAAGAGCGTCTGCTAAATGACTAACATGTAAATGTTGATACAACCTTTTGCACTGCATTAGATGGTGTGAAACGCACCTGCTAGAAAGCTGAGACATTTGTGAATTTCAATGGAGAAATGATAGAGGAATTATGATTATGACTAAAATTGTTAACCCCAATACTGGTGATGACTGTGTGAACTGTGTTAGGGTTATCATTATAAACCCACTAACAGAGGGGGTGAGTTAGAAACTGCTGAGACAAACATTCCAGGGTGAAGGGTACTGAGAAACTGGTTAAAGGCCTCCTAAAGGTGGGCGGAGCAACGTGCCTTTGTGTGTCAAGGGGTATAAAAGCTGTATATGTGTTTTTTGGCGGCAGAGCTCTCCATGATTAAACATACAGATCATTCTTGCCGGTTGTGGACCTTTGTTTAATTCATGATTAAACCAGAGCCTTACACCCTCTGGGAATTATTCAGAGCATTAACTTTGATTAATTAGAGATAGAAATTCTCGTGACAAATGGTCCTTCAAGCGGAGCTCAAAATACGTCTTTATCGTTCTGAGGACACCGAAAACCGTGCACGGGCGGATGATAGCATCCGTATAGAATAGACCTGGCCTTTGACGTTAAGGTTATAAACAGGCCGGTGATGAACCTTATGAACGATAAAGATGTTGACGAGATCTGAAAAAGCATTTATATCCCAAGTGCAAGAATAAGGTCAGTAATTTTTATTCATGGATTTTGGTGAAATTATTTGAACTTGTTCAAGAAGAGTAATTGTTGTGAAGGGCAGAGAAGTTACCAAAATCTCATAAGGGTATAAAGGAAGGAAGGGGGGTCTGAAAATGACTCTAGGTAATAGGCCTATACCAAAATAAACTAGTTAATATTGAGATTGTACAAGATACAGTCTTTACAATATAAACAGGAAGGGAGATAATTATCATCGTGTGAGATAGATACATTAAACAAGTCAAGAGTCATAAACAACTGGGGATTTGCTCTAACTCTGTCTATTTCATAAAACTAGAGCAGTTACGACCTCTGGGTTACGGATAGTGTTAGCAAAAAATCGTATAAGGTTGTATACGTGTGAGACCTAATGATCCATCGAAATATGTGATAATTGTTTCAAGGAAGGGACTAAAATAGGTCGCGTAAGAAAAAAAAGTGGTTGTCCCATCCGTTTCATGAAATGGGGGTCTTAAAAAACTCTGGGTTACGGGTTGAATAATTTAAATGGTTGATTAAAAAAGCTGATCATAACATTTACTCAAAAGTCGCACCAAATAATAAGTCCCAAATAAAATAATTATTGATTGAATTATTACTAAATGGGGGGATTTCTTCTTTTTCTACCATGGGAAATAAATATTCTAAAGAGGTCAGAGAATTAACGGGGGATGAAAGATATTTGTTAGGAAGTGTTCAAAGAAATATGTATCATGGATCCATTTGGGAGAAGAGGTATGGATTTATTGGGCATCTCGATGTAGAGAAATTAGAGGCTATGATTAGGCAGATGCATGTAAATTGCGAAACGGATTTGAAGAAACAGCGAGGGGAGGGGCTAGAGACAGCGAGAGTATGGCTTTTGGAGAGTCGGGAAAGACTAGAGAATTTAAACACAGAGTTGAAGCGATTAGATAGCTATAATAAATCAGGGAGGCAGAATAGGGGAGGAGATAAGAGGAAGTGCTTTAACTGTAACAAGGAAGGTCATTTTGCTAGAGAGTGTGAGGCCCCGTGTAAATACTGTAACAAAACAGGTCATAACCATCGCGACTGCAGAGATAAAGGAAAGGGCAGTGTACGGGAAATGACAGTCTATTTTTGGTTCCACGGGTAAAATGTTTGAAGAAGTGATTTGTGTCGATTAAGAATTGGCTAAAAACACCAGGAAGCGATTATTTGAGAGGTACCTATACATTTCTAACAATATATACGTATGAACTATCTCACCGAAACGTAAGTCATGGGTGAGAAAGTAGAGAATATTTACATTTTTAGTCATTTAGCAGACGCTCTTATCCAGAGCGACTTACAGGAGCAATTAGGGTTAAGTGCCTTGCTCAGGGGCACATCGACAGATTTTTCACCTGGTCGGCTTGGGGATTGGAACCGGCGTCCTCTCGGTTGCTGGCACAACGCACTTAACCACTAAGCTACCTGCCGCCCCATATGAGTTTAAGGTTGTGCCGTTGTTTGATTATGTGATAAGGTTTAATGTTAGGGTTATCATTATAACCGCTTGTGGACCTTTGTTTAATTCATGATTAAACCAGAGCCTTACACCCTCTGGGAATTATTCAGAGCATTAAGTTTGATTAATTAGAGATAGAAATTCTCGTGACAAGAAATGATTGTTCAGGAATATCCACACACACACACACACACACATTAAAACCTTGTGGGGAACCTACCTCTTAGAAGAGCGTGTGCTGGACCTGAAACCGCCAGCCCTTGTGCCACTCCTACACATCTCCTTCACCATACACTTCACTTCCTCGATGAGCTCCAGTCTTTCATGGTCAACTGATTACAGATCCTCTGTCCAGGTGTTTATTCCTGAATCCTAAAGATGTGAGTGCCGTTGAGAAAGTACAAGAACATTTCAGAGAAATCTATATGTTTCTCTCTCAATACTATGCTCTGATATAATATAATTGTTTTATAGGACTACTTGAATAAAACCATCCATGTAACCTTTCTTACTGACTACACTATTTGACTACAATTAGACTACAGTTTCATTGAAAACAGATGCCAAGCTGCACATCACAGACAGATATAGAGAACCTATGGTATAGGCCTAAATCTCTGACCTGCATCGTTGTCAGTGCCCTGTTCCCCTGACCTCTTGGCATTAATCTTCCTTTTCCTTTTCTTGGCCTCCATTTTGTGCTGGGCCACCGGTTATTCCTCAACAACCTTTCCCCTTACTCTGAGGATCATCATCATCATCCCTCTTTACTTCCTGCAAGAATTCAAGAATTCCAATAGGTCAATGTCTGATTACATACCTGAAAAGGACATCATATCAATAAAGCTACACAGCCATATCGGAGCTAAGTTGATGATTGGGATTGACTGCGAAAATTGTAGGCCTAGATTTTTTTGTTGCAATATGTTCAAGCAAATGCCCGCTTAGATTACTATTACATTTTTTACATTGCCCAATATTTCATGAAGTCATTTAGCTTACCTTTTCTTCATCCATATTAACGTATTTTATATCTCATATATAATAAATAATAATAATATGCCATTTAGCAGATGCTTTTATCCAAAGCGACTTACAGTCATGCGTGCATACATTTTTGTGTATGGGTGGTCCCGGGGATTGAACCCACTACCTTGGCGTTACAAGCGCCGTGCTCTACCAGCTGAGCTACAGAGGACCACATATATCTGTTGGTTTCGTTCAAGTCGAGTTATGATTGACGGCAAAATGTGTGGCAATATTTGACTGTAACTATATTATGGAATGTTAGACCACCATTATGACATCACAATTGTATTTAAATTTTTTGGTGGGGAGCTTGGCGAACATCTTTTTTATTAATTTTTTTACTTTTGTCCTGCTTTTGCTATGTAGCCTATGTTGCCCTCTTGTGGATTTATTTTGGTACGACATGTATGATCTACTTTTCTCTCATCACTGTTTTACACTTCTATTAATTAGTCAAATCAAAATCAAATCAAATGTTATTGGTCACATACACATACAGTGGGGAGAACAAGTTTTTGATACATTGCTGATTTTGCAGGTTTTCCTACTTACAAAGTCTGTAATTTTTATCATAGGTACACTTCAACTGTGAGAGACGGAATCTAAAACAAAAATCCAGAAAATCACATTGTATGATTTTTAAGTAATTCATTTGCATTTTATTGCATGACATAAGTATTTGATCACCTACCAACCAGTAAGAATTCCGGCTCTCATAGACCTGATAGTTTTTCTTTAAGAAGCCCTCCTGTTCTCCACTCATTACCTGTATTAACTGCACCTGTTTGAACTCGTTACCTGTATAAAAGACTCCAACCTCTCGACAATGGCCAAGACCAGAGAGCTGTGTAAGGACATCAGGGATAAAATTGTAGACCTGCACAAGGCTGGGATGGGCTACAGGACAATAGGCAAGCAGCTTGGTGAGAAGGCAACAACTGTTGGCGCAATTATTATAAAATGGAAGAAGTTCAAGATGACGGTCAATCACCCTCGGTCTGGGGCTCCATGCAAGATCTCACCTCGTGGGGCATCAATGACCATAAGGAAGGTGAGGGATCAGCCCAGAACTACACGGCAGGACCTGGTCAATGACCTGAAGAGAGCTGGGACCACAGTCTCAAAGAAAACCATTAGTAACACACTACGCCGTCATGGATTAAAATCCTGCAGCGCACGCAAGGTCCCCCTGCTCAAGCCAGCGCATGTCCAGGCCTGTCTGAAGTTTTCCAATGACCATCTGGATGATCCAGAGGAGGAATGGGAGAAGGTCATGTGGTCTGATGAGACAAAAGTTGAGCTTTTTGGTCTAAACTCCACTCACTGTGTTTGGAGGAAGAAGAAGGATGAGTACAACCGCAAGAACACCATCCCAACCGTGAAGCATGGAGGTGGAAACATCATTCTTTGGGGATGCTTTTCTGCAAAGGGGACAGGACGACTGCACCGTATTGAGGGGAGGATGGATGGGGCCATGTATCGCAAGATCTTGGCCAACAACCTCCTTCCCTCAGTAAGAGCATTGAAGATGGGTCGTGGCTGGGTCTTCCAGCATGACAACGACCCGAAACACACAGCCAGGGCAACTAAGGAGTGGCTCCGTAAGAAGCATCTCAAGGTCCTGGAGTGTCCTAGCCAGTCTCCAGACCTGAACCCAATAGAAAATCTTTGGAGGGAGCTGAAAGTCCGTATTGCCCAGCGACAGCCCCAAAACCTGAAGGATCTGGAGAAGGTCTGTATGGAGGAGTGGGCCAAAATCCCTGCTGCAGTGTGTGCAAACCTGGTCAAGACCTACAGGAAACGTATGATCTCTGTAATTGCAAACAAAGGTTTTCTTTGACAGTCTAATGGCCTTGAGATAGAAGCTGTTTTTCAGTTGCTTGGTCCCAGCTTTGATGCACCTGTACTGACCTCGCCTTCTGGATGGTAGCGGGGTGAACAGGCCGTGGCTCGGGTGGTTGATGTCCTTGATTATCTTTTTGGCCTTCCTGTGACATCGGGTGCTGTAGGTGTCCTGCGTTGGGCAGACCGCACCACCCTCTGGAGAGCCCTGTGGTTGCGGGCGGTGCAGTTGCCGTAGCAGGCGGTGATACAGCCCGACAGGATGCTCTCAATTGTGCATCTGTAAATGTTTGTGAGGGTCTTAGGTGCCAAGCCGAATTTCTTCAGCCTCCTGAGGTTGAAGAGGTGCTGTTACGCCTTCTTCACCATACTGTCTGTGTGGGTGGACCATTTCAGATTGTCAGTATTTGTATTTGTATTTATTATGGATCCCCATTAGCTGGGGTCCATCAAAATTAAGGCATTACAATACAATACATTCATAACAGATTTCACAGCACACTAAGTGTGTGCCCTCAGGCCCCTACTCCACTACCACATATCTACAACACAAAATCCATGTGTACGTGTGTGTATAGAGCATATGTTATCATGTGTATGCATGTGTCTGTGCCTATGTTTGTGTTGCTTCACAGTCCTCGCTGTTCCATAAGGTGCATTTTTATCTGTTTTTTTAATTTGATTCTACTGCTTGCATCAGTTACCTGATGTGGAATAGAGTTCCATGTAGTCATGGCTCTATGTAGGACTGTGCGTCTCCCATAGTCTGTTCTGTACTTGGGAACTGTGAAGAGACCTCTGGTGGCATGTCTTGTGGGGTATGTATGGGTGTCTGAGCTGTGTGCCAGTCGTTCAAACAGACAGCTCGGTGCTTTCAACATGTCAACACCTCTCACAAACACAAGCAGTGATGAAGTCAATCTCTCCTCCACTTTGAGCCAGGAGAGATTGACATGCATATTATTAATGTTTGCTCTCTGTGTACATCCAAGGGCCAGCCGTGCTGCCCTGTTTTGGGCCAATTGCAAAAGTCCCTCTTTGTGGCACCTGACCACACAACTGAACAGTAGTCCAGGTGCGATAAAACTAGAGCCTGTAGGACCTGCCTTGTTAATAGTGCTAGTGCTGTTAAGAAGGTAGAGCAGCGCTTTATTATGGACAGACTTCTCCCCATCTTAGCTACTGTTGTATCAATATGTTTTGACCATGACAGTTTACAATCCAGGGTTACTCCAAGCAGTTTAGTCACCTCAACTTGCTCAATCTCCACATTATTTATTACAAGATGTAATTGAGGTTTGGAGTTTAGTGAATGGTTTGTTCCAAATACAATGCTTTTAGTTTTAGAAATATTTAGGACTAACTTATTCCTTGCCACCCACTCTGAAACTAACTGCAACTCTTTGTTAAGTGTTGCAGTCATTTCAGTCGCTGTAGTAGCTGACATGTATAGTGTTGAGTCATCCGCATACATAGACACTCTGGCTTTGCTTAAAGCCAGTGGCATGTCATTAGTAAAGATTGAAAAAAGTAATGAGCCTAGACAGCTGCCCTGGGGAATTCCTGATTCTACCTGGATTATGTTGGAGAGGCTTCCATTAAAGAACACCCTCTGTGTTCTGTAAGACAGGTAACTGTATCCACAATATAGCAGGTGTAGTAAAGCCATAACACAAACATTTTTCCAGCAGCAGACTATGATCGATAATGTCAAAAGCCGCACTGAAGTCTAACAAAACAGCCCCCACAATCTTTTATCATCAATTTCTCCCAGCCAATCATCAGTCATTTGTGTAAGTGCTGTGCTTGTTGAATGTCCTTCTCTATAAGCATGCTGAAAGTTTCTTGTCAATTTGTTTACTGTAAAATATAATTGTATCTGGTCAAACACAATTATTTTTTTGATGTGTACGCCAAGGAACTTGAAGCTTTTCACCTTCTCCACTGCGGTCCCGTCGATGTGGATAAGGACGTGCTCCCTCTGCTGTTTCCTGAAGTCCACGATCAGCTCCTTCGTTTTGTTGACGTTGAGGGAGAGGTTATTTTCCTGGCACCACTCCGCCAGGGCCCTCACCTCCTCCCTGTAGGCTGTCTAGTTTTGGTTGGTAATCAGGCCTACTACTGTTGTGTCGTCTGCAAACTTGATGATTGAGTTGGAGGCGTGTGTGGCCACACAGTAATGGGTGAACAGGTGTTACAGGAGGGGGCTGAGCACGCACCCTTGTGGGGCCCCTGTATTGAGGATCAGCAAAGTGGAGGTGTTGTTTCACCACCTGGGGGTGGCCCGTCAGGAAGTCCAGCACCCAGTCGCACAGGGCGGGGTTCAGACCCAGAGCCCCGAGCTTAATGATGAGCTTGGAGGGTACTATGGTGTTGAAGCCTGAGCTATAGTCAATGAACAGCATTCTTACATAGGTATTCCTCTTGTCCAGATGGGATAGGGCAGTGTGCAATGCGATGGCGATTGCATCGTCTGTGGATCTATTGGGGCGGTATGCTAATTGAAATGGGTCTAGGGTGTCAGGTAAGGTAGAGGTGTTATGATCCTTAACTAGCCTCACAAAGCACTTCATGATGATAGAAGTGAGTGCTACGGGACGATAGTCATTTAGTTCAGTTACCTTTGCTTTCTTGGGTACAGGAACAATGGTGGACATTTTGAAGCAAGTGGGGACAGTAGACTGGGATAGGGAGAGATTGAATATGTCCATAAACAATCCAGCCAGCTGGTCTGCGTATGGTCTGAGGACTAACATGCTTAAATGTCTTACTCACGTTGGCCACGGGATTGGGCTGCGTCAGTGGCACTGTGTTATCCTGTTTG